GGAGGTGGTTAGATCTTCTAAAAGACACTGCATATAGCTCTCTTGCTTGTACCTACCATGTGACTGTACTATAAAAACTCAAGAGTCTGTACCTGGAAAAGGACCCTCACCAGAATGTGATCATACTGGCATTTTGATTGTAAATCCACACACTCCAGAAATGTGAAAAACAAATTTCTACTGCTTATAACCCAACAAATCTGTTTTGTTATAGCCACCTGAACTAAGACAATAAGAAATGTGTCGTGTTTCTAAGCATATGTTATGTGTTATAGACAATTAAGTATTTCATATTTCAACTAGGAAAGAAAAGGAAGAAAAACATAAAAATGTTATAATAAAGTTGATCTTGTTGAAGACTTCACAGATGATTTCCTGTTTCCATGTGAATATATGGGTATAATCACTTTTGCTTGGGTGGGTAGGATTATAAAAGTCCTAAAAAGGTTTAAGGCTTCAAGTGGGGTCACTAGCAATGTAATAAAGGTAATATAAGAACAAAAGGATTACACAAAATGAAATAATGGCGAGGGCAAATGATTTATCTATTGATGCTTCTTGTTGTTGACAAATGAAGCATCCAAGCAAAGCTTCTCTGTAAGTAGTAGAAAATATAAAGCTAGAAATCAGGGCAAGAAACATTTAGATAATTTGTATAGAAATGGCACCTGAAGCAATGAGATGTGCTTTGCTTACACATTGAAGAGATTACAAAACAAAAGAAGATAAATTCTTATGAATTCCTGTATTTCAGGAAGCTCTAGAGCTGTTTTGTCCAGTATAGTAGCCATTAGTCACATGCAACTATTTACATTGATTCTAGAGAATGGTTAGAGAATAGAATCAGGAAAATCTAGTCTGAATATCTTCTGTGAAACACAGAGAGAAAACATTTTAAGGACAATGGTATCATATAATACTGCATGATGTTCCAAACAAAAACAATTTTTTTAAATTTCCAAAGCAGATTCACAAAAATCATAAAATTAAAATAGGTTACAACAGATTGGAAATGGATGATAAATAAATAGAACTAACAGGTGGAGATAATTCTTTCTGGTAATTTTTCAGTAAAGAGAAATGGAGAGAATGAAAACCTAGGACGGAACTGAAAGAGAAGAGCCATGTATAGGTATGTGCTTAAAATAAGCACATTTATGAACCCATCAGAAGGTCTGGATACCCTTTGTAGTGGCACCCGCTTCTCCACAGAACATCATAACTTAGCTTCTCCAGAAATCTTCACCATAATTGATTTTAGGACTATCAGCATTAAGAGTCTCTACAAAAGAGTTTAATGTAGGTAAACTTCCTATTTTCCTGTTGCTCTATTTTATTTGGCCATTGGCCTATGAAAAGTCAGCACTCTAGGTGCTTAATGACCCTTTACTAGTTTTTCACAGACATTTATCCAGTATAGTAGTTTGTAAAAGTGTGTTTGCAAATGCAAAATGTGATAATAAAAAGACAAATCCTCTAACAAGGCCTTTGGCCTTGAGCTGGAGCTTCACAGAGATGTCTACATTTCTAAGATAAATTACCAATTGGGCTCCTTGGTAACGCTTGCAGGGAGAGGAAAGAAAGGGGCGGAAGAAGCTCTCCCCTTCTCATGTGTTGTTCTTGAAGGGTTTACTTGTCCAAAACAGTGAAAGAAAAAGCTGCTTTTAGGTGAACTTCTGCAGACTGTGAACTTCTGAGCCCCTCCCCTTATAAGCTGGGAATAAAGTTCTGAAACCAGCTGAACCTGGGGTGTTGGGGAGCAGCAGAATAATTGATTACAGCAAAATCTGAACCTGGCTGCAACCAAATAAAACTATTTCCTGCTATCTTTTGTGCCTTGCTTCATATGTCCCCTTCAACACCTTCAGTCAACCAGGCAAAACCATACCTTTTTTTTGGGGCGGGGGGAAATACCAGGGATTGAACTCAGGGGCGCTTGACCACTGAGCCATATGCCCAGACCTATTTTGTATTTTATTGAGAGACAAGGTCTCACTGAGTTGTTAAGCACCTCGCTTTTGCTGAGACTGGTTTTGAACTTGTAATCCTTCTGCCTCAGTCTCCTGAGCTACTGGGTTTACAGATATGTGCCACTGCACCCACCAAGAATCATACATTTTAAAAACAATTTAAGGAGACTTATAAATCGATCATCTAAGTCACTATTCACATTACATAGAAAGCAAAGTTTCTTAACAGTGACACAGTTCAGTGATATTGACATCTAGAATAAGAACTCAAGGCTTCCAAATGCCAATCGGTTATAGACTTTTCTGCCTCATTCAATTGCCTCCAAAGATACAGATCAAAGAGAGAGAAAACAGCTTCTTTTGAGTTCTGTTTATCTATCAAGAAAATGTTCACATATACAAAATTTCCATTTCTTTTCGAATCATGGGTTTGTTTTTGACTTTTATTCTTTAATATTTAGAAAAACAGAGAGCTAAGCATTGAATACTGGTATGGAACAAATCAAAAGGACTAAATATTATCTAATTAAATCCTTACCATAAGCTGAAAGGAGTGTGTTTTCACCATTTCGCAGCTTAGAAAAGCATGCATTCAGTCAGTAAGGTCAAAAAGCCTGTAATTGTGAATTCAGCTCTACACTACATGAAATAGGAAATGGAGAAAAAAAAGGGGGAAAAAAGAGATGAATAAGAAAGGAATGGAATTAAAATGTTTTATAAAAGTATAAAAGCAACAAGAATCAATTCATTTGCAAAAATGCCAATTCTAAAAATCAAGCCAATCCTTTAGATGAATATTAGTTGATTAAAAAATGGTTCAAGAAATTCTAACATTCATTCCCTTTTAAGAGGGGAATTGTGTGGCTGGGGGAAGGGAATGAGGCAGACTTTTTTCTTTTAATACTCTTTCTTAGTTGTTGATGCATCTTTATTTTCTTCATTTATTTATATATGGTGCCGAGAATTGAACCCAGTGCCTCACATGAGAGGCAAGCGCTCTACCACTTCATAACCCCAACCCCAAAGGAGATTTTTTTTATTCTAATTTGTTATATAGGACAACAGAATGTATTATAATTCATATTACACATATAGAGCACATTTTTTCATATCTCTGGTTGTACACAAAGTAGAGTAACACCATTAGTGTCTTCATACACGTACTTGGGGTAATGATGTCCATCTCATTCCACTGTCTTGTCTTTCCTACCCCCATGACCCCTCTCTTCCCCTTTCTCCCCTTCGTGCTATCTGGAGTTCATCTGATTCACCCATACTCCCCACCCAACCCCATTATGAATCAGCATTCTTATGTCAGTAAAAACATTCAGCATTTGATTTTTGAGGATTGGCGAACTTCACTTAGCATTATATTCTCCAACTCCATCCACTTACCTGCAAATGCCATGATTTTATTCTTTTTTAATGAATAGTACTCCATTGTGTGTGTGTGTGTGTGTGTGTGTATATATATATATATATATATATATATACACATATATATCACATTTTCTTTATCCCTTCATTAACTGATGGGCATCTAGGTTGGTTCCACAGTTTAGCTACTGTGAATCATGTTATTATAAACATTGATGTGGCTGTGTCCCTTTAGTCCCAAGGCAGATTTTTAACACTAAACCTTTATAACTTTTGGATCTTAACCATAACAATATATTATTGACTATTCCAATAAATAAGCAACCCTTTTTGAAATTTTTGAATTTCAATGTTTTAGTTCCAACCAACAGTTTATAAATACTAGCATTACACAATGCTCCAAGATGCCACAGAAAAAATGAAATTTCAGGAATATTTTCTTAAAAGAGACAAGAGATCTACCTTTTGGGTGATGAATCAGGAAGGGAGAAAGCAGATCACCTCTAACAATCACTATCTGATCAAATTGATTCCACTGCAATATGTTTAGCCCATTTTCTTAGTTTGTAGCTAAGAAAACCTATTGCTTAAAAGCAATGTCCTGGTAGAAATCTACATGAAGCAAGAGAAAAGCAAGGATCCTGAAACTCTTTCAGTTTAGGTCATTCTATTTTAAGTCAGTAAGGGTGCCACTTAATAATTTTCTTTCTCTTTCCTTTAGCACTTCTGTGATGTTGAAAATCCTCCTGTACTCAAAAGTCAAATGATCATTTATAAAGTTTCAATGTAACGGTCGGCAAACCAGTATACCTGAAATGGGGAGCCAGTTATGCATTCTCATTCTCTGTTCTACTTGTCTTTTTTTTTTTCCCCCTTGAAAATAGTGTTAACTCTAAATACCTTTCAACAGTTTCATATTTAAGTGATCACGTACACAGCAAAGGAAAAACACTTGACAAAGCTTTTGGAGATATAAAAGCTATGAATTGAAATCACATTTTGGGAATGAAGGGATAGCTGAAGACATTGCAAAACAAGCACGAGGGTGGGTGGATCAGAGCACTGGGGCAGGCCCATGACTTCAGGGAGCCTGGAGTGGGCTGGGTTGTCAGATGGGATCCAGCTCAAGATACCACTACACAAGGAAGACCGAAAGCAGGTGGGAAGCCTGGGGCCTCCCATTTCTACCTAGTCACTTGGAGACTCTCTTAACGATGTACGCATAATTGCTTTCCTAACTGGTTCAGACTAAGAGTCGCAGGAACCTCGATCAACCCCTTTGGACTGGAATCACCCTGCCTTTGTCAGTTTCAACCTAGTTTTTTTTTTTTTTCCCCCCTGCTATTGCCCCCATAACCTCAAATTAGTCTAAACTAAAATCTGGCTATGGGAGAGATTACAAAATGGGCGATACACTAAGCCATCTTCACCTCTTCTCTTGCTCACTTTTAAAGCCCTTCCAATCAGTTGGTTTCCTCTACACGTGGGCAGCTGGGCAGCTGAGTTAAAGGCTGCCCACGTTCAAGAAAAGCCAAGGACTGAAAGGGGAAAACGGGATCCAAAACCTACCAATCAGCTGAGCAGCTCAGCCTACGCCCCGCCCACCATCCCTGCCAGCCTATAATTTCCACACTTCTTCCGTCTGTCCCGCCCAATCAGAGTGCCTCCGCGGAGCGTCCTGGCGATCTAATTGCCCGCACACCCTTGTGAGCTGTGCGCCCTCCTCCGCCCCATTAGGCAGGAGGACCACTAGTCCTTCCATCATAAAGGTGAACTGGAGGATATCTGCTACCACGGAAGGCCCAGGGCCCCAGAAGTGGTACTCCCAAACAGCAGCGAGGCGAAAGGAAAGAGAAAGGGCTTGTCCAGGAACGCCCACCGCACACGGTTTCCTCCAACCCCAGGTAGTGACCTCCCCTACTGCTGAGAGAGGAGGAAATCCAAGGCTGGGTCTTCGCGGCATGCCCTGGGCTTCCGCTGACCCTGGCCCTTTTCTGCCATCTGCTTTGGCTTCCTAACGTGCGCTATTGCTCGTTGCTTTTCTTTTCTTTTCTCAGTGGGGACTTCCTTTTCACAGTACCTAGCGTCTCTGAGGCGGTGACACAAGACACTCAACATGGCCGCTTCCAAACTGGTAAAGGCAGCAATGGTCGCAGCTGCTGCTCCAGCCTCCGGGAGTGGAGTGGGCCTTGGCAGTGGGACTCGGCTCAGGCACTAGGTTCTGGCGCGGCTAGTAGAGGCGTTCTTGCTTCTGGGCGCGCGTGCCCTGTACCTGTGAACTGGCAGCGGTGGGCTCAGTGGCGAACGGAAGACCCCGGAGGTCAGTCCTCCCCGGGGCATCAGAAGCCCCGAAGGTTCCGGTGCCCACTTGCAAATAGTGAGAAGCTGCCCCCGGCCGTAGAGGTAGAACCGAATGAATTCATCTTTACCTTCAAGGGCCCTCCGGGTGAGGGAGAAACAGCAAGGGGCTGCTCCTGAATTTAAAAACTCATTTCTGGCTGCCTCTGTATGGAATGGATTTACTCCAGGGTGCAGGTTACCGACCTTCTTTGACATTTTCCTTTGGCTTTCCAAAACAATCTCGCTTTCCCCAATGACTCCGCATTTATTCCTACTGTTATACAAAAGGGAAATATTTGCAATGTCATGATTGCGTTTAGCTAAGAATCTAAGGAAGCCAAATTTCACTAATGATTGGTACGTTATGATATGAATTGCTTTTGTGATTTCCAAAGTCTAGAACTTAATCGATAAGAACATTTTAATGAGAAAAAGCTAAATAACTTTATATATGTGTATACAATATAACTTTATATATGTTTAAAGAGTAAAATAGTAATAGCATTTTAAAATATTTTTTATATGTTGGAAGAATCTTAAATATTTGTTTCACTGGAAATATATATACCCTTATACACAAAGGAGCCATTGGCACTCTGTTCAAGGTTAAGATGCATTTTTAGTAAGTAGTTATATTAGCCTAACTACTATATATTACTGCCTACAACGTGTGAGGTATGATACTAACCCATGAAAGACCATTAAGATCTTGTGAGAGTAAAACATATATTTTGTTGTTGTTGTTGTTATTGTTGTTTGGTACCAGTGATAGCCGAGGCGGTTAGCCACTGAGCCACATACATCCCCTGCCTTTTTTTATATTTTATTTAGAAACTGGGTCTCGCTGAATTGCTTGGGCCCTCGCTAAGTTTCTGAGGCTGGCTTTGAACTCTGAGATCCTTCTGCCTCACCCTCCAGGATTATAGGCTTGTGCCACAGCTCCTAGTTATGGCTTATTTTTAATCAAAGAAAATGCATTACAATATGGAAGAGAACCCATGGACTGTGAGAACTAGAGAAATGTCACTTAATATTGAACACTCCACCACTGTTAGTTTGGGAAAGTCATTTTATCTCCCTGATGTAACTACTATCATCCCTGTAGAATAGGAGGATTAAAATATTGGATCTCTCAACATCCAGCACTAAAAATTGATGATCCATAGGGCTGCCAGTGGGAGGTGTTATCAAGAAGATTCTCTGAATTAGCTGTCACATGTTAGTTTCATATGTATGAAATTCCCTGCTTTGTTAATATAATTTTAGTCATAGAATAATAGATAAAAGAAATGTACATTAAAGTTTTCAGATTTATAATCATTAAAAATAAAGATATTTCTGTAAATAAAATTGTGTTTTTAACATTTTGTTGTAGCTTCAGCCACCACACTTTATCCTGGGGATTCCGTGCCATTGGTATTTGATAGAGTTTAGCAAATTCCCTTTTGGTGTTTAGATTTAAGTCTCCTTTTCCGTTTTTCATCACTGTGAATTAACCTTGATGATTTTTGAATTTTATGTTCTGTAGTTCTTTAAGTTTTACAAAGAATTTTTCCCCGACTGCTGTTAAAAATTAGACTTTTAAGATCAAATTCTTCATGTAACCTGTGCTACTTTAAAATGATTTATTATCTTTGATCCCCCCAAAAATGGAGCAAAACACTTAAATACCATTGTTCATCTTGTGGATCTATGTGAGCTCCTGCATGAAATCTTGCTTTGAATTTACTGAAGGAAGCAATACCCTCCATGGCAGATGTCTGTCAGATAAATTTATAAGTGTAGTCAGGAACTTATCCAAAAGAGGAAAACTTATGACTACTACAATAAAGTCAAGTATTTAAAAGGAAGTGATTTGATAATGCCTATATACAATACTTGAACTAATTAATTTTTATTTTGCCTTTTAAAAAGAAGCCTATTGTGTTGGATTCGAATTGGATTCAACATAAACTCATAAGATTTGCTGAGGGCCATTGCCAAGTAGGAATGACGCATCGAAATTTCCTTGCCAGCGTACCCCATGTTAAATGGACTTGCCTTGGAATTTCGCTGTTGACATTGCATGTAAGGTGACCTTGCTCAAGGACCAGGGTGGATCCGGGTTTAGAGCGGATCAGGTTTGAGGAAGTATCCTGCTCCTTGAGTTTAAGGGGTTCCCGGTTTAAGACAATAGGGGTTTTAGGGAAGTTGGAGGTTGAAGATTATTGCTACTGGGTGTAGGGCGTTGCTGCTGCCTGAGTTCCCGCTGAGTTTGTGCAGGCAGATTTTGGATTTTCCCCAGAATGTGTTTGTACAGGGCCGGTGTGAGTTCGGGAATAAAGAATTGCTGTTTGAATCTACAAAGCTGTGAGTGGCTCGTGATTCAGTGCCAAGCCGAGACATTGGCAAAGATTCATATATATATTGAAATATATTTAAATTAAAGATTCAAGTGTATATAAATTTGTGTATGTTTATAATATATACCACACGTTCACACACATATTCCCTAGTTCTAGCTACTAAGCACATCTATTGATTTATAAACAGTTTTCCACTAAAAGGACCATGGATCCTTAGTCTAATTCCAGACTGCAGCAGAGAATGTCAAAGGTTGACCAGGAATATCTTACTCAGAAAGCAAAAGTTGGGTGGATAATAAAGGGACACAGAATCTAGGTCAGAGAGATTCCTTGTGACTAAATATATATATATAAAAGCATCAAAATATTTGTAATAAAATTTTATTGAGTAACTGCAAAATAAGTATTACAAATGATACGAGAGATTTTAATTTACATAATCAGGAAACTACTGAATCTGCAATTCTAGGGCTGAGGACCACAGTCTGATCTAACAACTCTTCCAAGTGATTAAACTGCTGTTTTGGAGTAGTTAATCCAGAGGTAATCCAATCTGTAGCATATGGCAAGAGATTAACTGGGTTTTTTTTTTTGTTACTAGGGCATTCCTATTTGATTATAGACATTTTCATTTCCTTAAAAATTACCAGTTGTAGGGCTGGAGTTGTACCTCAGCGGTAGCATGTGTTAGGCACTGAATTCCATTCTCAGCACCACATATAAATAAGTAAATAAAGATTTATCAACAACTAAAAAATATTTTTTAAAAAATCAGTTATTCAGATAAACCCGCTAAAATTTAGCAGAAGCCTGTTTTCTGTCATTTTTTAAATCATTCATTCATTTAACAAAGTTTGTAATGATTGTATACTCATTAGAAATGTCAAGAATCTGTGAAATCACCTTTATTTCTCTACCACATGTGCTGTAACCTCAGTGGAGAATTAAGAACACACAAAACTACTCTCTGTGCTTCCTATAGCATTGACGAGACCAAGCTCAACTTCCCCACCTGTAACACCTTAGTCAAAAGTCTCTGAATTTCTCCATTAGAAATTGCCCAGAGACATTTGCAACCCTTTCACTGATAAAACTGAGCTGCTATTAACCATTAAAGTCACCTATTTGAATATCTAAACAACCCTACTACCCTGTGTTCCTATCTAATGATCAAGGGAGGCAGAGGAGTAGGATTCAAAAAAACTTTTCTAGGCCAAAAAGTAGACCGGGTCACTGACTCCTCTTTTTTTTTTTTTTGTTTCAAGTTAACCTCCTAAGTTACCGTCTTTATTCATTAATCTTTCCATTTTCACTTTTCTGTTTCTTCCCTTTTACGTTTCCAAAGTGTGAGCCGACTGGCACAGATGTACAGTCAAGATTTTTTTTTTTTTTTTAGAAAGAGAGAATTTTTAATACTTATTTTTTTAGTTTTCGGCGGACACAATAACTTTGTATGTGGTGCTGAGGATCAAACCCAGGCTGCATGCATGCAAGGCAAGCACGATACCGCCTGAGCCACATCCCCAGCCCTACAGTCAAGATTTAAAAGTCAAGGAAATAAATAGCCATAGTTAGGTTGAGAAGAATAGTATAGGAAATAGTTGATTTTCTTCTTTTCCTTCTAGATGAAAAGCAAACCCGGAATTTATACTGAAACAAGATCTTTAGTAGTGAAGTTGTCCTATTTAAATACTAGTCCTTCTGAAAATAGTAGTAGCAAGTCCTAATCTAACCTAAAAAAAGATAAGTTGATATTTTCAATGTCCTGTGTAAACTAGCACTATTATTTGTACTTTGATGAGATGATATTCTGGATCCTAAACCTTTTTTTTGTAAAATATTTTAATGAAATCTCTGGCATAAATATCACTTAACTATTTCTGCATGACACATACCCCCAAAACTTAATGACTTAAAGACACCAGTGTTGATTTGTGACTAATTTGAGCAGGACTCCAGAGAGGGCCTCTCACCAATTTTTTTTAGCTGAGTCATCTGGAGTCCTCAGGAACTGGAGGATCTAAGCTGGTTTGTGTCTCAGCTAAGATGACTGAGAAAGCCAAAATGTCTGGATCTCTCTCTACTTCAGGGTTTTCTCCTTTCTGAAGTCTCTTCCTCTTTGAAGGAACAAAACTTGCTTCTTCAGATGGAAGCTGGTGTTCAAGACAGCAATAGTAGAAATTAAGACCTCCTAAGGTCTTAAGAGGTCTTATTTGTTCAGGTAACTTCTACCACATTCTGCTGCTCAAAGAAAGTTACAAGGCCACCCTGATTCAATGTTGGAGGAGGATGCAAAAAGGCATAAATTCAGGGAGGCAGAATTCATTTGGGACTGTGATGGCTACTCTTATGTGTCAGTTTGGTTAGGTTGTGGTACCCAGATATTTGGTCAAATATCTCTATGAAGTTATTTTTCAGATGAGAATACCATTACATATTTAAATCTGTATCCTTTCAGAAAGCAAATGACTGAAAATGAATGGACCTCTTTTGAGACTAGAAAGTCTCAAAAGAAAAAGAATGATTGCTCTCAAAAATGGGGAAATTTGGCCAGCAGACTACATTAGACTTTTATCATCAATTCTACCCAGCCTGCCAAACTACCTACCCTGCAGGTTTGTACTCGCCAGTCTCCAAAATTGTGTGAACAAAAATTGCTTAAAATCTCTCACTTGCTCTCCATAGATAAATAAAATAAATATGTATTTGTGTGTATATATATATATATATCTATTTTTAGCTCTGTTACTAAACTACCGTTGGGGCCATTTCACAAAAAACAGCATGCATTTTCCAAAACTGGAAAGCCCATAATCCCCAGAAATCTTAATAATTAGTGTATGACACTCAATAATACTTAAGGAAATGTTCTCTAGCTAGAGAACAAGTGTGCAAAACTTTAGAGGATGCAAAAAATAACAAGGCAGAAGTAACTCATTGACAAATTATTTATGCTAGGAGTGTGAGCCCTGCCTACCTCAGGAATGCAGGAGTGACAAAAAGACTTATTGAGAAAACTTGCCAATCTGATTAAACAGCATAAATGTATGACCAAGCCAAAGTTTCCAACCGGCTTTGCAACAAAGATAAAACAGTTTATGGTCAGTAATAAAATGTGGAAGGATAATCATTTCCTCCCTAACTTGCCAAAGTGCCTTAAGCAAACCATTTCCTAACTCAAGTAGATGCCTTATTTTGAAGTCTAAAACATTAAGCTCAAAATTAATATTAAAGTAATGGCATTGTATTAGTTTAATACAGCTGCTATAACAAAGTACCACAAATTTTGTGGCTTAACAGAATTATTTATCTTCTCACAGTTTTGAAGGTTAGGAATTCAAGACCGTATGTAGAGCTATATTCTCTCTGAAGGTTCTAGAGAAAAATCTGTGCCTGGTCTTCCAGTTTCTGGTGGTTTTCTGCCAAGGTTTGGTGTTTTTAGACTTGTAGACTCATCACATTGATTTTGGCCCTGATGTTGATATAGTGTATTCTGTATGTGTATGCATACAAACGTATGCCTGTGTGTCTCAATTTAAATTTCCCCTTTTAATAAAGACACATGAGGGGCTGGGGTTGTGGCTCAGTGGTAGAGTGCTGCCCTAGCACGTGACAGGCCCTAGGTTCGATCCTCAGACCTACATAAAAATAAATAAATAAAATCAAGGTATTGTGTCCAAGTCCAACTAAAAAATATTTTTTTAAAAAAATTTAATAAGGACACATGATATTGAATTGAGGTCTACCCCCTTCCAGTATGGCCTCAACCTTAACAGATTACACTGGTATGACCCTATTTCCAAATAAGCTCACATTCTGAGTTGCTGGGAGTCAGAAATGAATTTGGAGAGTGGGGGACACAATTGGACACATAAAAATGGACTATATTTCTAATAAAATATACTATTTTCTTTCAATAATCCAAACTCTATGCTTATTTGGGGGATCTGATTTGTCATTTGGGTTGAAAAAGCTTTTTTAGGAAAATGAGGGATTGCTTGTTTC